ATTTTTGATACTGTGGAAAAAAAATTGACATTAGGGGCATACAATCTAAAGTTTTTAGAGAAATATAACAATAACAAGGCATTGACATGACGACCACTTTTCTTTTTCTTAGCTAGTAGCAGAGAACAGCAGAATGGCTGTAGTGAAACTACTGAACTATTGAAACTACTGAAAAACTATTGAAACCGTTTTAAATATTCAGAATCGATATGTATCGATAAATTGATACTTTTGACAACATTGCTTTATAATGCAATAAATAAATCCAGAATACAGAACGTTTAATACCTGCTTTTTTTAAGGTATATTTAAAGGTATTTTTTTCTCTTCCAGAAGATAGATGGTGAGAATGTTTTCCCCAAAATATTCCTGCATATATTTCCACGATCTAATCACAAATCTTAAACGTCCCTAACCTGAACTGACACTTCTCCTGTCGTTGACACAAAAACATGAACGGCCTTATCTAGAGCCAGTGTTTGGTTTGTCCGTTCTGGGCTACTGTAGAACAACACGACCCACTCTATGGAAGAGGATCCGCTCCGTATGTAGGTATAAATGGCTCATTCTAAGGTAACGAAAACAGAACAATTCTTATTTCCAGGTGATTACAAACTAATGAAAACATAATTATGAATGTTATATTCCATTTCTGCCCCTAAATCCTGCACACTGGACCTTTAAGAGAGGACGCTCTATGTAAGATGACTTGGCTGAATTTACAGTCTAGTCTCTACATTGCTGCTTGCAACAATAACTACTGATTAATGGACTAATGCACTACTCAAGACTGCTGTGTGCTTGCGTGGGTGCAAATGTGTGCTGAGAAGCATGCCACACAGCTACATAAAGGTTAGCACCAACAGAATACCACAGCGCATTAAGGAGACTGTTTCCATAATAGACTCTAAGCTCCTGGCCATTCCATCAAAGTCCCATCTCCCTTATCTTTCTTTCAAGTGCTTTTGTTCGCTGATAAACAACAGAGGGATGAATGAACAGGGGGATAAATCTGATACGCTGTTGTCCTGGGGACTGGGAGCTGAATTGAGAGCGTGTCTCTCTATTTTCCCCTCTCTCTTCCTCCACTGCCAGCTTAATTTAGGCCCCAGTTGCGGCAGAAAGCAGGGAGCTGTGCACCTTAAATGATGCAATTGTTGAATCAGATACAGAGACAAGAATGCACAACAATTACCTGATCAGCAGATCCCCCCCTGAGACGCTGACAAGAAAGATAGGACAAATACTGCAGCAAATTCAATCCCTGACTGTCTAATGCTCGGATTAGACGACACAGGAGCATTTTTTACTGTAATGGAGCCTGACTGTAAAGTTTATCTATAAGCTCCGTGTCAGTCCTTTTTACTGTGCTCTCCAAATAAAGGATGATAGAGATATAGTGGGATAAAAAAAAAAGATTTGGACAGATCTTTGGAGCCTGTATGCAACAGGTCACGTAGCTTAAGAACAGAAGTTGGCAGAGGGATCAGAAGGGGAGATTTTCTTTGTAGCCGACATAGATCAGAAAGTATAAAAGAGGAAGAAGAGGTTGAGAGTGGGGAAATGTAAGAAAAATGTAATGCAGCTGCAGCACATCAACCTTTACTGTTCTGTAATATAATAACCAGCCGTCGCCTATAGAGTGGGCGCTCCAGGGCTGGAAATTTTAATTCTTCTCTTTAACCATCAGTGTATCATTTGACTCATCACTGTCTAAAGCATGTGAGGCCTTCCCAATGGCCCTTTCATACCAATGACCCCCTCACCTACTTACAGCTGTTAGTGCAGGTTGTCATTTAGGCCACACACTGTTCAGACGCCCTATTTAGCTTCTTTTTAGTGGTGTCGCTGTGTTCAAAGAATCTCAGCAATTAACTTAGCAAGTTTAATGTTATATCATGGGTAAAACTTTTATTTTCAAAACCAACACTGCTTGAAACTGGAATTTCCCTTTACAGAACAATAACACTACTCATCTCTGTCATTAGCCACTCCATAAAACCCAAACCTTTTCACTGTGCCACCATTTCTCAGCTGAGAGTGGGCTGGAAACAACATGAAGTCAAAGATGTCAGTTAAAGATGTGAAGGAGAATTTAGAAGGACTTGAGTCAGACTGCACCTGTGGTACGTGTCCATAGGATCCATCATTTCTACACTCCCCATCATTGTAAGTAACCGTGCAATGCATTCTGGTAGCTCAGTGCTGTTTTGACAGACGGGGCAGTGTTTCGTTATTTGCATAATTTTGGATCTGGGCTACATTACGTGAATGAGGGGCGTCCAGTGTGACTCACCACCTCTGGAGACTACTGAAATACTTTTAAACTAGCTGTCATCAATCTAAAATAAAGACAGATTCAGCTACTGCATCGCTTATTTCTCGCAACAAATGTTTCCAGAAGCACATTTTGGTGAAGTGCTTTCGTAATATAAGAAAAAGTTTCCAAACAAGCTGCCATGTTGGTCTAATTTTATATCTGGAAGCAGACAGACAACAAGCCCAGTGGCACGCCCATCAAGAGTCAAATGCTGGAAGCGGTGCGACCCCGTGTGTCCAAAAATGCCCCTGTGGACACGTACCATTACATTATGTAATGCAGCAGTGGAAGTAAATGACGTGGATCTGGTGATGTTCTGAAGATAGACCAAATTGTTTTCATTTTATCTTTTTAAAATCTGTTTTCTGTTAAAATATAATGATTTTCAGACTTGTCTGTTTTATTTTACTGCCCTTGTGAAGCACTTTGTAACATGGATCCTAAAAAGTGCTCTGTAAATAAAGATTATTATTATAAGTTTTATGATCTTACATAGATGCGTTCTTACTGTGTTGTTTCATGCAGGCTATACAAACTTGGCCAACCTGGTGAAAAATGTAACTTCATTCCCAAAGTTGGAAATGAAAAAAACAAAAAGGAACCCCAGTAACAAAAGTAAAACCAAATGGTTGTCATATTGAGAATGGTTGCTCACGCTCACCTTCCTTTCCACTCATATTTATCAACATGAATCCCAGTGAGATTATATGAAAGTAATCTTTAAATTTATGCAAGATAGGTATAACGTAAATGGTTGAATAGAGTGCTGGAGGAGGTCCTTAAGGAAGTCCTTAAACTCTGAACAAAGTAAGTAAATACCCCGCAGGTAAATTTAGAAGCTTTTATGTGTCTTAAAAAAGGCAGTTGCTAACAAGTGGACATTATCACACTGTACATGGCTTTACAGCCTAGTTGTGGCGGTCCCGATGAAGTCATGTGACTGTAGTGTAGTTTGTCTATAGCCTAATGTTAGCTTTTTACCTCTGGAGAAAGAATCATAAAAGTGGTGCTCATTTATTAATATTATCTTGCTGGACAAAATGTGTAAGTATCACAGTTTTGTTTGCCATAGAGTTTCAAAATCCAAAGGAAAAATCATACTGGCTTTTTGACGAGAGAACTCGGGTGATGCCACCTTCCAGTTTGGCCTACAAATAACCTTGATCCCTGCACCACTCTATGGTGTGTCACTTTAAAATTTGCTGCTGTAATGAATTGTGTGATGGCATTTTCTCTTTCCCTTTTGTAAAGGATGGTCCAGTGTACCCTATGCTAAAGGAGATAAGACAGGAAAACATTGACGCGCTTTTGCTTGGCATTTGGAGAATCTGACCAGCTCTTATTGCGGCTGCCACTTCCGGGTCATTTCACTCAGTTAGGGAACCTCCCAAAGCAAAAAAGGCTTAACCAGGAGCACCAGGAGGAAAAATGACCTTCCCACAGGAGCCAGAATATTTGAGGGTGCAGCACATCACTACAGTTAGTCCATGTAATCATTTTATAATCTGTATTTGAATCGCCACCCCTGCATGTTTAACTAAGCCAATAATATTTCTGGTGAAAAAAAGACTCATCTCCAGTATCGGTGGTCTTGACCTCCTCTAATTTCTCCCTTTGGTATAGATATTAAATTAACAGAGGTGGATGAAACTCCACATTAAACTCATTACTCTGCAGCTCCACCCATTAGTGTTACCAACTCTCTGATGTCTACAAAACCTATTAAAAACATATTTTACCTTTGTCTTAGAAAACAAAGTTGGGATGGAATCTGGAGCACATATGTTTATGAATGAAGCCCGTATGTCTCTGCATTGCTCTGCACTGTGGGACTTTTTGTTCTCTGTTTGCTTCCCCAAAGGTTTGTTTTGGTTCATACAGATCAGACTTTTTCATCACCCTTTGTATCCATGTTCTCATCCTCTTCACCCTCTGAATGCTCCCCAATCTGTTTGCCCCTTTCCTGTCTTTCCTCACGCTTTGTCTCGGCACTTCTCTTTTATCATCCTCCCTTCATTTTCCCTGTCGCACAGGTCTCTTGTCCCCCTTCCTACCGTACAGCTCTCACCAGCAAAATGTCCTCTTTCCCTCTGACCCTTCTCCTACCTCCTTCCATTCATCACTCTCCCTCTTGCGTCGCCGCTCCCCCCCCCCGCCTCTCTCCAGAGATAATTACTACAAGCCTTGTGAAGATCAGCTTGTATTTAAACAGCTGAATAAGCAAGGGCTGGGGGTGCTGACAGTCACTATTCAACAATAATAGTGAAACACTGGAGTAGGGAATAATTGTATGTGTGCAGCTTTATGGGGGACATTTAAAAACATCTTCCTGGACTTACTGGTGCTTTTTAATTGTGTCCCCAGTAATGAGCAACACTGGTGGTTATATTTCTAACTGTATGTGGCCTCTGCCTTCTATTGTGGCCTCACATTCAAGATGATGTACAGTATGCGCACATATATATCACTGCTAATTAAAGAGCTAGCGAAGCATCCAGACAAACAAAACCACTGCAGGAAAAATATCCCCAAACTGTCATACACGCAAGAACTTGCACACGTTTGCATGGATACACTTGAATATGTCATGTATACATTTACAGTATATGTACGTGTTTTACTGTTTTGTGGCTGTCGTGGTGTATAACAAACACACACACACACACACACACACACACACCTGCTTCATTGTACGTGGCAGAGAGCTTGTCCAGCATTTCTCTGTCCAAATTCAGGATCTGCTGCTCCAGGATGGAGGGATAGGACGGGCTGCCCCGCTCCTTTTTTTCATCTTTCTCCTTGTCTTTTTCTCTGTCGCGCTCTCTCTCCCGTTCGTAGGTCAGTAGCTGCTGGCGGAGCGCCTCAGGCAGGTGGGCCTTGGCAAAGTCAGCAGCAGCCTGATAATGGAGAGCAGAGGGAGACAAAGGACGAGTTAGAGGGGCTGCAGATAAAAATTAGTGTGGTCAAAAACACTATCAGAAGTACTTATTCAGGCAAACACATTCTCACCTACATACTGATGAGGGTTTTTCTTTTTAAACTGACCGCGTTCAAGCAGCGCTGTTGGTGGCTGAGACAATTCATTGATTAAAAAAGCAACAAACATTGTAACAATTGAATAGTTGTTTAATGCATTCACAAAAATGCCAAACAATCTCTTGATTTTAGCTTCTCACACATGACATTTTGCTGCTCATATCTGTTTTATCTAACTGTAACCTAAATATTTTTGGTTTTTGGAATGTTACTTAAACAAAATTAGCAATTTCAAGATACCACATTCGTTTTTTTACATTTTAACATTCATTTTTTAGACTCACAAATCGATATGCTAATCATCAGTGAAACTAGAATTAATGCCTCACAGTTGTTTGCATCCACCGGTCAAGGTGCAATTTACAGCCATGTCTGTCCAGACACTTATGTAGCCATGACAGTAGACAATGCTTCAAATGTGGATGTTGCTGCAAAGAGGCTACATATTCTATAACACAGGTGCTTCACACACATCTTCAACCTGACAACACAGAAGATCCATACAATCAACACAGTTTCAAGTTGGACGACCCAAATTCATTGTCTGACCAAATGTCTCCCCTTCTGGTCCTGAGATATGACGTTGTGAAAGTGTTTTTGCAGAACATTATGATGTCACAGTGAAGTTGACCTTTGACATTTTGGATATAAAATATCATCACTTTATCATTTTATCCTATTAAACATTTTGTGAAACTTTTTCATAATCAGCTGATCAATTCTTGAGTTATGGCCAAAAACATGTTTTGTGAGGTCACAGTTCATCCTCGAGTCCAAGTGGACGTTTGTGCCAAATTTGAGATACTTCATTCACCTTTATCTTAAGAATGAAGAGACAGAGCATTAGGGCCACTTTCAGTTTGTCCCAAATGACAATGGGATGGACAAACGGACCCGACGTAATTATTTATGGATTATCAAAATAGTTGCCAATTGATTAGCGGTTGGTAAACTAATAATGTGAAGCCTACAGAAATGCAATGAAAACCTGATTAAAAGAGCATAAGAGAGCTGAGCCTGAGACATCTTATCTTAAAACGGCATTTAGAAAGTTTAAAAAGACTATAAATACTATATTGGATGGATTTATGTTGGAAATGCCAGGAAGAAACTGGCACTTTTTTACACTGTATTTGGGATTGTTGTTCACTTATTCGGCCCTTTTGGAGCACAATTCTTAAACACATGAGTAAATGGCTAGGTAAGACATTGCCAGTGTCTCCGAGACTTTGTTTATTGGGGGACAGATCACAAGTGCATAATGTGTCAAGGGATGAATTCTATATTTAAAAAAAAATACTATATTGGAACAGTACTAGTACATAATATTGTAAACTAGTGCTTGTTGATTTTTCTCAAAGACCCTTTTATATATCACATTTAATACACTCACATTGTATTTATCAAGTGGCATACACATCAGGCTACAGTGGCAGTAACCTGCTCGTCCTCTCTGCCTAGCCAAAGCAGATGAATCACAGATAAACAGAGATAAAGAAAGAAAAAGTGCATTGCCAATCAAATGTACACAAGCTCACACTCACACCCCGCTGTGGGATAGAGCTGAGCCAGAGAAACTGTATCCTCACCTCTATCCATTTTACTCTACGGCTAACACCAACTAAACCTTTTCTCACACATCCCCACCTGCGTTTCGGGGCAAATAATGCCTCCCTCGTCTGGCTCAGCGCCAAACTGGGAAGACACGCCGGTCCAAGGTCATGAAGTTCATAAAGTTTCAAGTAGAAATGTCAGATAATATTCTGCTGACTTGCCACTGGTCTGCTGCATTCATACAGCTCATATTTCGTACATCATGGTTTCTACTGGAAAAGAGTCTAACTGGCCTGCAGTAATTAAAAAGCAGTGGATTAAGAAAAGAGAATGAGCCAGTTGAGACTGCAGGAGAGAAAAGGTTTGCAATTTCCTGCTGTGGAATATAATGATTGAAGTCATATGACAGAGACCCATGGATGAACCCTATGTCTCAAGTGCTCACACACTGTCCCCATTTAGCTCCCTTGCCTATCTATACCTTCCTCTCTTTCTCCGTCTATATCTCACTCTGCTCTGGGAAATTACTTTGAAGCACTCAGATAACCCAGCCTCCTCTGCTCCTTCTCTACACATGAAAACAACTCATCAACTCCTCTCTTGTTATTTCTTGTCAGTGTTATTGAAGCTTTCCTTCTTCTCTCTTCTCTCTTCTCCAATGAAACCAAAGTGCTTCCAATTTTCCCATTTCCCACAGTCCCTTCTCTCTGGGTGCACGCTGATGATCAGTCCAAAATGGATCTTTCTGACACACTCCTTTCTCTTGTCTGAAGACAATCACGGATGACATACCTTCACCCTGCAGTTACAATGCAGAAAGCAGGAGTCATAAACTAGGTTTAAAGGTCATAAAAAGAACAAGAAGACTTTTGTCTGCTTGGGTTATTGCTCTGACAATTACCCAGCAGTTTAATTGTCCGTCTGTCAGTCCTTAACAAAGCACCAGGGTCACAAAACCTGTCTCCAGCTACATTCCTTCTGAACATTTGACTGCACATGCATGTGTACACACCAATCAGTCTTTGTGACGGCATGTGTGTCACAGCTTGGGAACTAAACCAGCAGACAGCCTTGACAGAATGGGAGTCGGAGGCTATGTCTTGATTATCTGACAATCTAACCTGCTGGCTAACCACATCGACACATTGAACACCTGGCTGCAGCCTCTGCACCGGCTTAAGAGGATGAAAGGAGGGAAGGGGGGATGAGGGAGGGATAGCAGGGATGGATGGGGATGTAGACTGTGAGATAGCAGGGATGAAGACAAGATGGCAAGGATCAGGGAGAGTAACACAAGAGGGAACAAAATGGGGGATGAGATTAGCGGTTGGTATAAGAGCACAACAGAGGAATGCAAGCAGAGAGTGCAGAAGCAGAATAAACGGCTGTGTGTAATGGGACAGTTATTCTAGCTGACAGAAGCATCAATGGGTTGGAGCAGCACCAGGTCAAGAGCTAAAAGTCTCTACTTTCCAATGCACAGCAGTGGGGAAAGTTAAAATGCGCAGTATTGTATCAATACACATACACCATTTGCTATTAAATTAATTATCAATATTGCAAATACAAATGAAACTTTTGGTAGCCTACTAGAATAATAAAATCTATTGCTTTTATCAGTGCACCAGACACATTTTGCTGCAATAAAGATGAATGACGTGAGATGAGCAGACTGAAAACTTATTAAATAAAACAAATATTTACTGCGTTTTTCTTTAGGGACACAAAGACAGTTGAAAACAGGTAATTAACCGCAGTATATTTTACTGAAACTCCCAACATTTCATCAAAACGTTTAAAATAACAATTATATTGCATTGTGGGGCCTCTGGTGATTCCCACCCCTAATATTAACACTCACTGTTAGTCACCAAAAACCACTGTGTGTACTGTTGAGCACTCATTAATGTGTCGAGTGCATTTTCTTTCTCATATAGGATTTGCAAAGTAGGTTTTATTATTTTAAATCATTCATTCATTGTTGACTATGTTTGCTTTCTTCTTTCCTGCTTTTGTTGGTGTGTTAGAGCCAACTCTTTGGGTAAAAGAGTGAAACCACAACACTGTCTCACTGCTATCTCATCAAATACTGACATTTGGTCAGTGGCCCTGTGCGTCAGATACAGATGCAGCGAGGAACCCTTTAGCGTCAGTATGAGATGAACCGGACAGCAGCATTTTTTGAGGTTCCAGGCAACTGCCGTAGCATAAAGGGCAAGAAAGTCCATATAGGGCAGGCAGGTCAAACAAACTCCGGACTTGCACCGTGGAGACCGCTGTTTGTGTCCCATGTTATACTAACAGCCAATTGAGGTATTTAACAGTAACATAGTGTGCCAGTATTAGTAGCATGCTGTAACCTATGTGACATTCATGATGTATGTCATGTGATGTTAAAATCGTACTTATTTTAAGCCAAACCAGGATGTTTTTCTAAACCTAACCACATCCTTTTTTGCCTTAATCTAAGAAAGTAAACCTAAAAACCTTTTCCCCTATGTTCTAAGTTTAATTGGAAAAGATACTGTAAGCTTTTAACGAGCAGAAAATGTACATCTCCTGTGAACTTGGAAGTTTCTTTTGGAAAGGAGAGTCTAAAACTGACCCTGGAGGGGAACCACTGACCAGGCCTCCGTATTTCATGAGTTGGGAGTGAGAATGTGTTGGTTTTCTCTGGAGCAACTTTATCAACCAATAATTTCAAATCCATCGACAATTTTTTTTTTTTTTTGCCATGGAGAAAGTTATTATTGTGACTCCCAGTCCCACCACAGGAGAGCTGGCTCAGGGTGCAATCAGTCATGGCAGTGCAGAGCGTCACATTGGGCTCTCCTTCACACCACACTTCCTTGCACCACACATGCGGTGACAAAGGCTTGTATGCACATACAGTATGCACATGCAAACACTTTCCTATGTCAATAGGGCCACCTACACACTTTTATCATCTACCCAACCACTCCCTCCTGACTGCTAACTGTGAGCCATTCAGATGGACAGCCCAACAGAAATAGTCAGGCCTTTTAAACACTTCCATCCATCACATCGCCAGGCTGCCAGAAATGAGGAAAGTCATCCGAGTTTTCCTTTAGAATCACCCTGAGGGAGTTTCATAACCGAAGTAGAAAAATCTCTTTCTGCGGTCTCTCTGACAGATCAAGCAGGCAGATGGAGAGAAGAAGAAGAAAGGGAATGAAGGGAGGGGGGGTCTGAGGAGGAGTGTAAGAACTATTCATTAGCATCACTCAAGCACATCATTAAAGAAAGAGAGCGAGAAGGAGAGCCGGTCCCTCCAGTTTAAAGACTG